CTTATATAGTTTCTTAATAGTTAGTATGGAAAGTCAACCAACTAATAATTACATTAAATAGTTGGTAAGTATTATCAATACTTTAAAATATTTTATATTTGTGACTTCTAATTTATATTTCACTTTTATGTAGATTTGAAGGTTTGAAGCAAATGAATTATTGATATGAATATCGAAGTTTTATTAGTAATATTTACTTTTTGGTATTTGTATTTGACAACTTATTATTTATATGTTATTAAATTAGATTACGTTAATTTGTAAAAGTTAAGATTGAACTTGGTATTTGTATCTACTTTTTGTTATTAATATTGGTATCCACTTTAAGGTATATTTATGTAGTATTATTTTAAATGTTAAAAAATTTAATTATAGTACGGAACCGAACGGAACCGAATAGAACCGAACCGAACCGAACCGAACCGAAACCGAATGGTTCCAAAATTATATTTGGAACCGACGGTTCCATTTACTAAATACCCGAAAATTTCTGGAACCGAAAAAAACCGAACCGAACCGAACCGAACCGACCTGCGCCCACCCCTAGTTGAAAATTAGTTTTAAAAACAAACGTGCTATACATACATTGTTTTTTTTACATTAACTTTGACATCCTTCCACATGAATAAGGACGACAACGAGGTGGATATAGGATGGGTGAGCCATTCTCACCCCCATTCCGTTGGATATTTTTGTTACCTTACCTATCTACATACTCGGTTAAAGCGAAACATGACGAGTTCAGGGGGAGATTAGGTCATTTGCCCTCATTTATCGTCTCATTTATTTTTTATTTTTTATGTGTTTAGTAAGTAAATATTATTATTTTGTTATTAATTTGTTAAAAGCAACTTATGTTTTTTTTTTAAATGAGGATAAATCTTTTTTTTTTTAGATAAAAAATTTAAATTTATAATTAACTTTAAACGGAGCGGATAGTGGGACGTGAATTATATTTCTTGTACCTGCTTTAGGGGTAATGACCTTTGCCCCGTCCTCTCTCGTTTACCTGGTTAGGTGGGCGTCCCCGCCACATGTGGGAGGGGCCCCACTGATATCTGGTTGAACGATTTTTTTTGCCATCCTACACATGACACCCATCCATAGCCTTTAATTTTTTCAACACCCCTTTATATCATTGGTCATATTTTGACACATAGGGGGAGTGTAATTCTTAATGTAAACAACAATATACATCTAGAATTTAAAATGAGTTTTTTGTAAAAAAAAAAATGGTGGCCAAATATAGGCTATATTGCGAATGTCTGGTTGAAAATAAATATGTAGAAAATAGTTTCAAATATTGGTTGTCAAATATGTGCTTAATGTTATATCTATATCATTTAAATTGATATTTTAATTTCAATAGTTAGAAAATGTTGCCCGAGCTTGATTTTATAAAAAGTAATTTTTTTAAAACTTATTTTCATTCACTTCAATAAAATAATTTTATACATAAATTAATTTTTTTTCTTATTTTTAAATTTTTTTCTTATTTTTAACAACACATTCTCAAAAAAAATTATTATTCAAAAAAAAAATATTTTTCCCCAAAATGGGCTAAAACAAGGGCCTAGATAATTTTTGTTTGGGAAAATTACATAAATCCAGGTATTTAAAAACTGTTTTTTAAAAATCATGTCCAAATATTATTTATTCAAAAATCAAGTATTATATTAAAACCTAATTGATAACCCTAATTTATCACTCTACTCCCTCATATCTCTCTCTCTCTCTCTCTCTCTCTCTCTCGTCTCCTCTTCCCTCCTCTCCTCTCCCCCACCCCGCCTTCTCTGTGACGTCGTCGCCACCACGGAAGCAAACCTGAGCCTCTTCGCGCGAAAATGCAACAGTTGTGCTTTGTGGCGATCTGCACCGGAGCCTCTGTGCGCGATTTGCAATTGCAACAATGATTTGCAATGGATCTTTGTTGGGGTGTGGATATATGGGTGTGTTTGCTGTGGGGGTGTGTGCTGTGGCGTTGCGACGGGTGGAGGTGAGGTGGCGATGATGGGTTTGGGATTTTTTGTTGGGTGGTGTGACGTGGTTTGTTAATGGTGGTAGTGGTAGTGCAATAGTGGTGGTGGTGGTTGTGGTTTTTGTTGATAGTTGACTGGATCTGGCAGCGACGATTTGGTGGTGGCGGTGATGTGGTGTTAGTGTTGGTGGTGGTGTTGTCACGTGGTGGTGGCGACAGTGATGGGAATGGTGGTGGATCTGGCTGCGACGAAGACGGGTGGATGCGGTGGCAGTAGTGTTGGCGACGATGGTATGTGACCACTATTTGGTGTATGTAACTAATTACTTGGTTATATGTGACCTACTATTTGATGGTATGTGACCAAATATTTGATAATCTTGACCATTTATTCAATTGTGATCTAAAAATTTAGTAATATGTGACTGTAAAAATAATTCGTGACCAACCAATTTAAAAATCTGTGACCGACAAATAAATTGTAATCAATTAATTTAATAATATGTGACCAATAAATAAATTGTGACTTATAATTTTGTATATGTGACCATTAATTGTATAA